GTTTAGACCAAACTCTCTAAGGAATTTTTCCATGATCATATGCATTTATTTTATCAAGAATGGACACAGCTCTGAAAGCAAAATTGCTTCCTTGAAAGTTGCTTGTACTAGCAAGGTTTACCAAATAAAGTCAATATTAAATATCTAGATCTATGTCATCAGTGGGCCTGGGTCCACATGAAAGGGTTTCAAATTCCCTCCTGGATTGAGAACCAGTCCTGGCTGAAAGGAACGGGAAGGATAGATAGATGGATGGATGGAGTAAAAAACATGGATTAGATTTGTATTCACAGATGTAAAATAAGAATAAAACAAAACAGAGCTTTTAGATGTTTTATAATGGACATGTTGGAAAAGAATTGACTTAATTGGCCAAACATGTGAACACTGGCAAAGAATACAGAAAAATCTGTTGGCTGGTTTTCTTCTGTGAAACTGTTTTACACCAACAAATTTGCCTGTTATATACAATTTTGGGACTGGATTAGAAAAAAAACAAAAAGCCCCTCAAATTCTAAATTATTCATCCAATATTTAAGATAGATAAATAGATAGATAAATCGGCAAAACTCCCAAATTAATGTGACAATAATGTCTTAAAGAGAGGATATAATTTCTGATTGTAAGTTTATGGAATGGGTTTGTATTAAAATGTTTATGGCTTTCTTATATCTGCAAAGTACAACCTTGGTAGATTATGTCATTCAACTTATCTTTGTGATGTTTTAAATAATCAGAAAACAAACATGTCAACAACCACAACTATTCTTTCCATGTTACCTTCTTAGTTTATTTCAAATTGATTGCAAAACTAAAGCCTCGATCTGTTACCTGCTAAGTGACCTTGAGTTTTTTTTTTTTTTTTTCCCATTATTTTCCTACTTAAAGGAGTGAGAGGAAAATTATTGAACAAAGCCTGAGCATGTTCAATTCAAAGAAAAAAAAAGCAAGAAAGATGAGCTGGAGATTAAGGCTGCAAATTAGTTATTGGGAACGGGAGATTGGGAAGGAAAGAGAAAATGAAAACAACAAAGGGCAAATCCAGGAGGGGTTGCAAATACAAGATGGATTGGATACAACAAGAGAATAAATCTGAGACAGATTGAAGTCAGAGAGATCCATATATGCAGCTGCTGAGGGAGTCTGTCTTCTTATTTTCCTTCAGATCCTTCTGAAATTAAACACCATGCCCAGAGATGAAATGGATTCCGGTTACATGACGAATACTTGTTTAAGAATTTCTTCCTGCAGAGATTTTAATAAGGTAATGGATAATAGGCACTGGGAAATCGTGAAAACTTCTCAGTTGAAATGTTTTGCATTTCAGGAAAGTCTTTTTATGATGCAAGGTGCAAAACATTTTGAAAATGTTTGACTTTTTTAAAAAACTGAATAAAAATTCTACAACCTGTTAGAATTTGCGTGCATAGTATAAGTAAACAGCACGTTACATGATAGGACAATGGAAGTGAAGACATGGACCCAAACACTTTGGATAAAAGCAGCAGGAGGCATTCTGATTGATAGGATGCCTGCTCTTTTCAGGGTAAATGATTTTTGATAATTCCACATTGAGCTTTAGCTGTCGAACTGATGCCAGCACATTTGACTCAAGGATAGTCTAGTATATGTAGGAGGTCACGGCTGACTCAATAACTGCACGGTGTCCAGATTTTGTGGCAGCAAAACAAGTCAAAATCTCCTTCCCATCCTGTGTATAATAATTTTCATTCCTTATATTTGCCAACATGCTGTCAAGTTTTCTCTAAAGGTCATTTTGTACATCTACCCAAAAGAGATTCTTCCTAAGGACTAATGCTTTCATGCAGATGCAGCTTTATTAACCGGATTGTATTGCTGTGCTGTTTCTAAAAAGTCTGTCCATTAAAAATCCTTTTTCACTCCTTTTGCTGATATAGAATTTAACATGCTAACTGTAGCCTGTAGAATCTGGATGTTGTTTTTTTGTACATTTCTTTGTGTTTTATATTACTATCAAATATTATCACCCTTCCTACAATAATTAGTATCTTTGATACTGGATAGCATTCACCAGTTTTCTATTAACACAAACCTCTTTGTTCAAACAACCTGACAATAGTTTTATAGAAAATGATTATCAGTTGTTCTTTTAGGACTGGCTAAATAATGCAGACCCTCCAAGCATGCAGTTGGTTTTCCCTGATTTTAAATGTCACCCAGCATATTTATTTATTTGTTTATTTTAACAACGCAGCATGCAAGCTCTTTGACAAACACGTCATTCAGGATTTACTCAAATTAATTTTCTCTCTTTCACAGTGGCTGTGTGGGCTGTAGCACTGAAAGACTGTCTTATGTCAATTTATATAAACTCTGAATCAAATTGACAGGCATACAAAAAGCCTGTGTTTTTACCAGCCCTCAGTTTTGCCAAATTTGATCAGCTTTTCATACTGTAATTTCCAGCTGTAATGCTAATGTCGACTGAGTATATAGACCTTTCTCTCATGTAAGAGGGGCAATTCTCATATTTGTAACCACATTTAGGGCCAGGGATTCACTTTTATTGACATTTCACGGAATAAAAAAAAAAAACAGCTGAAATGTTCTTATGCAACATGCTTAGGCTGTAAAATATTAAAATATATAAAGTTATTTGGAAGCATTTGTATCCATAGAAACTTTAAAATAAGGACTATTTCTACATTTTCACCTGTGTAACTCTTTCAAACACCCCTCGCCTCCCTTTTGCTACGAGATTCAACTTTTTATTTACGTTTTTTTTAATTTCTAAAGTTGCTTTATGGTTTTCTGTGAGCACAGCACAAAGCAAAAATGTCTTGCTAAACAGGAATGACCTCCCTGCTGTAGTTCGCATTGTTGAAGCCGTGCTGCAGCTCCAACATATCAAATTCAAAGCCTCTGCGTTTTTGATTAAGCATAGAAACGGTAATTGTTTTCATTACCTTGGATGGAAACAACATTCAAGCTAATGTAGTCCATTGATCTTTTTGTTCAGAGGGAAATTGTGTTTGGTACCAGTGTCGTATATCCCTTATGGACCCTGTGTTAACCTTCTTTTATCCTCCTTTTTCAACTGCTATTTCTCTTCATCTTTTCTATGTTTTTCCTTAACTCTGTTAGCAGCGTCTTTCAGTCACCCTTTTGTTTAGGCTCCCTTTAGTTTTCTGTGTTTTTGTCTATAAGGCTTATAAACTCCAACAAAAATTATATTTTCAGCTTAAAATTATGATGAATTTAGAAGAAAATAATAGGGATTTTTACTTAAGGTGAATGGGGAATTTGCAGAAAGCCTTGTTCCTGTTACAATTTGCTCCAGAGATCCTGATATTCAGCAAAAAACAGTTTTAATTTTAAAATGTTTGAGAGTTTGTAAAGATTAAAGACTGATATGTAGTTGTAGGCTAATAGGCTAATAGCAGGTTTGGGAAAGCAGATGATGGCAAAACTAACTTTATTTTCCCAAAAGCCTTTGTGTATTTATTATTTAGTAAAAATAAAAACATCAAGATATAAATCTATTGTTTATCCCTTTTACAAGGATATCCCACGCATGTGTGAGGAGCAAACAGGCCATTCTATTTAGAAACACCATTCATAAAAACAGTGTATAAAAAGAAAGACACGTGAATGTTTGTGTTTTCTTCCTATTACCATCATCAGAGGATCCACTACATAAGCTGTCTTCAGACCTTGCCTCAACGCCGCAGTGTTGATCCAGTTGGTCAGCGCCTAAGCCTAGACTCTCAGTGAATCTTTGTGACTTTTGAATCCAGCCTGGATTCTAACCCTTGTCGGTACCTTGGAGTTTGTTATGATGGATTTCCTCTTGTTCTAACTTGGTGTTGTTTTTTATAGATAGCATCTTGATCAGACCTTCGAATGTCAGACTAAATGTGCTTTAGCCATATAGTCCTACAGGGGCTAAGGCTTGCGGGGAACTGCTTTTACAGTCACCTATATTTGACCAAAATGGCGTTGATCTTATGCTCTTTTGCCAATAGTAATGATTATGCGCAGCATTTACTGCTTACATGCTTGTTTAGATGCATTCTTTATCATATAACCACAACAGCAAACAACCAATAGTTAGTGTTGGCTTACTCTTTTAACTTCTGTCCTTGAGTCTGATACCCTCGGTAGCTTCCCGCTCTCCTGTACCTAAACAAATTGCTTCGCCTCAAAGCCCACAGTTATCTCTCTTATCTTTTACAATGCAGAAGGTCCTCCATTGTTGTTGTTGTGTTGGTGTCATGTAGGGACAGCTGGGCCTTCTTGCTATTGCTAACCTGTCAAGGCTGCTGTGCTGCTCAGCTGTAACAGAAAAAAAGAGTTAAGATGGACTGTAGTGAAGCAAATAGAGCCGGTACCAATAAAGCTTCGGATTCCAGGCACATCTGTAAACTGTGAAGATGTTTTAAATTAATTGCTTTAACCCTTCTTCATTAGTGCTTTTAGAATGCAGGGCTTGTCAATGCAAGTGGAGTATCACCCCAATTATAATTGATATTTTGTTATTAGAAATTCTTATGCTTATTTGTTTTTGTTTTTTCTGCCCCTGCAGCCAGAGTGCAAATCCAGCCCAAAGAAAAGCCCCGAGCCGGCTGTAGACCTGCTAGGCCTGGGTAAGAAACAATATTTCATTTTAACCTTCAAGTACTTTTTGAATTATGTTTGAATATCTAGAATGCGATCGATGCGTTTATTAAACAAGCAGTGTTGGAGAGTGTTATGACATTTTCATTCACTTTGAGTCCAGTCATTTCTAAACTTGTTAGTGATTAAATATTTTGTTATATTCAATGATAGTTCAGGAATGTCATAATATGTTCTAAAATAACTTGAATTTAATGTCCACTCCAGTGGAGATGGAAAATATGTTATTAAAACAAATAACTTTTGGACTGCCAGATGTTGTTCTGAGATAGGACAACAAATAAAAGGATGAATTCAGCTTAAATCACAGCCAAACATTTTAATGCTGCACAAATATGGAATAAATTCACAACAGCTTTTATTCATTTAAAGTATTACAATTTGTGAACAAAAAAAAATCTCCAAGTCAAACATATTTCAGTTAAACAATAATTAAAACTAAACTTAGTTACTATGCACACAAAGAAAAGGGAATGAAAATTGTTTTTAAAAAAAATCAATAAAATAATGGAATCAGTTTAACATGGATGTTATGTTTGAGAATCAGAATTTATGGTGAAAAGTTTAGTATGAGGTCAAATTAGCTTTCAACTGTTTTTTCAGCAATTGGAATATGTTTTAACCAAATTAAAATGCAGATCTATAAGGTGAATGAAAAGTATTTATTAAATATTTTGCCTAATCAGAAATCAATAAATGTTTTCCTAATTGATCAATAATTTTGTGTTTCTTTCCAACGGAATAATTAGGAGTTTGAAATCTTTTATATTCTTTAACTGTGCCTTATTAAACATTGGAGCTATCAGCTAACAAATCATATAAAAATAATTCTTTTTTCATATTTTTGCAATCAAATGTAATGAGCATATGATGAAACACATTTAAATTATTGTTATATTAGTGTTTAAACCCTTAATGAAATAGTTTGTTTTAGCTTTATGAACAGCAGCTCAATGCATGTCAACACGAGGTGCCATGTGGTCACATTAAGCTGATTGTTAGTTTGCTTTACATAAAAGTAAACCAATAAAATGACAAAAAAAATCTTTAAAAACACTAATTGTTTAGCTTTTAAGGCTTTCCCTAACTTTGCCAGAGCTGTAACCTCTGTTGATCTGTTTTGCAAACGTGAGCTAAAGGTCAGTAAAGCTGTTAGCATGTCAGGTCATCAGCAGGGGAGCTAATTTCCTTTTCTCTCAGGTGAAAGTCTACAATCTCTGGCATCGTACAGTTTACTGTAATCTCAGAGAAAAATATTACAGAATGTCTGTTTTGCAGTCTGGTTCTGAAATTACCAACAGGCACATTAGCTTTGACAGTCTATCAATTCTCTATCAATGTTCAAACGTTCAAAATTAATATCATTGCTTATGACATTACAACTTCCCTTGTTAATCCTTCTTAAACTTATCTTTTAGCTTAGTAGAGAAGGAATTTGTTACATAAGTAGAAAATCAAAAAAAAGTTTTAAAAAATTCTAACAAAATGATGAAACCCTTAAGTTGATAAATTATTTTAAGCAGAAACCGGTAAACACAGTGCTAAAAACTGCAAAAGCTACAGAACTGATTTTGAGAAATTAAGGCAATTAAAATTTGAGCTTTGAAAGGGTTCATGGGAAATATGAAAACAGAATGGAGGATAAACGCATCTGAGCCAGCAATGACTAGGAGTGTGCACTCCTGTCAGAACATTAATTGAGCAGCTCTCACAAGCATCAGTTGAAAGCAAATAAATACTCTCCTGTTGAGCCTTCAAATGGCTACAAGACGTCTTGAAGAGTGGGGCTGCATCATAACTCAGATTCAGTACATTCCCTCTGATCCCTGCACAGCCAGGCATGGCGTGATGTTGTTCACATCCGTGTATTTTCACTTATTACAGATAATTGGACCTCTCCTCACGGTGCAGTGAGACTGAAATTTGCTCATCCTCCTTCTCGCTGGTTGAAAATGAATTCCTTTTGCTTGCTGCATAGCTCAGAATCCACCTTTGTTACATTTGATTTAATTTTCACTAGTTTTTACAAAGAAAGATACATTCACAAAAAGGTTGGAAAAAAAGATGGCATTCCTTTGACATAACTTTGTGGTCTGTTGATGGGCATGGCATATGGTTGACCTGGAGTTAAAGAAATATACCTGAAGGGTTGCTAAAGGCAAAGAGGAAGGTCTTAATATTCATTGACACCCTTTTTACATTTTTAAAAGAAAAGGCAGCAAATATGTAAATTCCTTATTGCAGAAGCTATATCTCTCTGAAAAAATTATTTTTATTTAATTTATTCAAACAAATCCACATTGAGAAAGATCATACTTTTAAAAAAACCCACCAGTAACAGGTGTGCTTCAGTGGTGCAATGGTTGGCGCTCGCAACCTATGTTTTGAGGCCTTGTTCCTGGATGTGGGTGACCCAGGATCAAATCTGACCTGAGGTCCTTTGCTGCACGTCTCTCTCCCCATCTCTTGTACCCCCTTTTCTGTCATCCTACTATACAAAAAAAAAGGCATTAGTGCTTTACAAAAACTAAAAAAAAACTAAAAAAAAATCACCAGTAACAAGGTAATGGATCATGCAACTATCAGGTCCTACAACTTAAGTATAACTAAAGAACTACTTGATTTGTTCCTTTTGAGTTGATCGAAACCCTTAAGATTAACAATCTGGGAGGACAGGAGGTGTCATGGAGGTTCAGCATCAGCAGTATGATTATAACTCTTTCTTTACCTTTTCTTTTAATTCTTTCCTTTCTTTTGAGACACAAAGCCAGCTTTTCCAAACAGAAGTCACTCGATGCAGACATTCCATAAAAATTCAAAAAATATCCACTTGGCTTGGTTTCCAAGATTTGAAGACGTTTCGCCTCCCCTCCAGGAAGCTTTCTCAATTCAAATGTCTGGATCCGCAGTGAGTTTGAGTCTTATACGTCTTCAAATCTTGGAAACCAAGTCCAGTGGATATTTTTAGATTTTTTACGGAATGACTATGACCTGGATGACTGAGAATCTTCATCAGCATATTCAGACCTGTGCTTGGCATGACAAAGGGTTAAACCCCATCATAGTCTCCTTCCACAAACAAAACACATAGAGATGGCAAAAAGCCTCCCTTTTCCACCCTAAAATGTTTTGTAAAAGCCCTGGTGAGAGTAAAGCCCGTTCCAGTTAATCACTCATCAGTTGTGAAGACAAGAGCAGTCAGCTTTGGGACGCAAATAGGTGCCTGCACTGTGGAAACAAGGATGTTTATTAAAACCTCCTATCCTGAGTCACAGTAATGATAAAAAGAAAAACTTTAAACAGTTGGAACTGTGAGAAAGAAGAATGGACATTGAGCTTTTTATTATGTTTTTAGTAAACAGCTCTTAGATATAAAACATTTTGGGAAGTAGCCTATTGTTAGCGTTAAAGTGTAATGATTAAGAAATGGTCATATGGCAATACAAAACACACAATAAAGGCTCGCATCTACATCATCTTTAGATTTGCAACCAATAGCTGGACTGAACTCTCCTTTGGTCCAAGTCGTTTGCTTAACAACAAAATCTTCACCTTTTCCATCGTCCATTGTACAGCTCATATAGCGATAATACCAGCCATTGAAACGTGCTCCTTATTATGCAGTGGGCGGGGTTTCGCTTCAGTTGCTAGGTAAGAGGCTTGACCAGGCTAAGGTTGCTAAGTGAGTGGAAGCATCCACTTTGGTGATTATACAAAATATTACCTTCTTCGATTTTATTGAATATATTAGTTCAACCTTTAAATGCTACCCTAGGTGCCTCCACTAGAATATGCTAAAAAGGATATTTTTTTTTATTGTTAAAACTGTTAGACGTATTGCTAAAATCGAGTGCTGATGGGTGCCTAGATTGACTTTTATATAATAAAACAAACTTGTATCTTTTGCTTAAACTACACCTTGCATTTTCATACAAAATAGATATGCGTTATCAGCACAAAACCAACTAAAACTGAGCTAGCTAATCATTTGTTAATTTAATAGGATAATGATCCATAAGATTTTCCCATAGAATGGATCAGCAGTCACAAAATCAAACTTCTTCCACAGCCACCAGATTTAAACCCTGTAGAAAACTGTGGCCAGCTGGATAGACATCATAGAATGCTAAGAGAGAACACATGACCCAAGATGATCTAGAGAGGTTGTGCAAAAGGGGGTCAAAGATCCCCCTCTCTGTGTGCTCCACAAGAAGACCAAACATGACTGTGTGCAAAGAATTAACTGCGGATGTGTCAATAGCTTTATCTGCTCGAACTTTAGTTTTTTCCCTCTCCTCTCTATAAATACAGCCTGAGCACACAGGTTGGATTTTCAATTTGTTTAGCGAGATTATGCTGCTGCAGTAAGAGATAGATTTATCTTATTGTCGGTAGTAAAATTGATTTAGTGTCTTCTTGGAGTTAATTAAAATGAACTTCATCAAAGTGATACACCAACTGTGAGGGATGGTTATCAACAGTTGGACTACATTGGACTATTGTCCATCGCCTGATTGGACAATGAACCAAAGGCTTCAGATCACCTGCATATTGGGATGTTAATAGTATTTGTGTTTAACTAAAGAACATGAAACCATAGAGCTTGAAAAAAAAAATTGAATTGTGGAGTGACATTCAACAAATGTCACGATCTGGATTCAAACCTGTGACATTTTCCCTACACAGTGTGTGGGTGTATGTCGGCCAGTTAACCACTGCGGCGTTGTGCTCCATGCTTGTTGACCTAAATCGAAACGGCAGCGCACTGAGAAAACAGACAGGGTTGCTTCAAGCTTTCTTCTTCATAAATTTCTAATATGCAGTTGTTCTTCTTTACGGAGCTGCATTGTGTTGGCGTGAGGAAAAAGCCCCCTGGACATAGCATTGATCAAAAATTCCCAAACCACAGCATGGAGGAAAGAGATTGCTATAAATAACCAACACTACACCTCTTCCAGCCTCGCTGGCT